AAGATGCATTTCTTCTGCTGCTCTCTTTGGTAGTGCTCAACCTTCAGTGCCAAGCTTCAAACTGACATTTTGCATCTAAATAATCATTTAATACCCAATGAAGTAAGTTTAGGAGGTTGTTATCATTGATTAATCGGTGATTATTTGAAATCAGCTCATTAATAGTAGGCACATTCCAGGAGGAAAGTGAGACTTCTTTGCAATAATTTATACTGCAGAAGCAACAGACTTTTTCTCCCCAGGGTTTCTCATAAAATAGGTCATTCTTTGGCCAGTCTGTTGTTGTAGTCTGACTACTATTACAAAATGTATAAACTGCAAGTGGGCAAATTTTTACCTTCCTAAATCCTGAGGGATTGCAAACCTAACTGTAGATAACACAGATCTTTGTCCAGACTTGCCGGTTCTCCCATCAGCAGTTTGGCTCAGGCAATTTAACTTAAAATACTTTATGGCATTTCAAGGCGCCAGCAAATTGTTCCGATTCCATCACAAAAAATGTGCCATGACTTAAAGAAAGAATTCCAGTGTGAAAGTCAACAACTTAATGAGTCTAAAGAATCTCACACAACTGGGCCCCAGATGGAGGGCAGGGTGCTTGGAAAGAGCGGAACGTGTCAGACCTGCAGCTCCCACCAAAGCTGTGTTGGACCCACTCATTTGGTAGCACAGCTTTGCTAGGAATAGTGTTGCTTTTGGTAGCTTTCCAAGCTTATGCCTTACCCTTCCAAGGCAAGTACATTCAGTTGGCTCACAGGACCAGTTCCTGAAGCAGTTTTCCATTCAGGAGGGCAAGGTTGCTATTTCCTTAGTTTGTAACCAGAGGTTGTAGCTGCTGTGAAACACATCAGAAAAGGTAACGTATTCCTTAGCATGTGAAGGCTGTACAAAACCCTTGTGGTTCTATAGCAAATGTCTTTGTTGTACAATGTCATAACATTTCATTTGAAATACAAATGGGAAAAAAAAACAGTGTTAATTTTGCTACTAAAAAGAAAAGAGAAAATCAGTTCCCTGGTATTCATAAGACTCAGGTATCTCTTAGGAAACAGTTTTTATTTCCTTCCAAATGAGCTGAAAGGCAGCCTAAGGGCAATAGTGAAGCACGGGGTATTTCTGCCTCTTCAGCCCCTGTTACTGGAGGCCCCAGAAGGCAGCAGTGTTGGACCTCGTTGTTACTGCCACGCACGGAGGAGGACGAGGCTGCCGCGCGGCTCGGGCTGCTTCCAGGCTGCAGGAGAGGGGCTCAGTCTGCAGCACAGCCTGGACAGACCTCATGCCTTCTCTGACTAATTACAGCAAGCCAATGTTTCACTGATCTGAAGTTCATATATTAGGGGAAAGATGATGGTCTTACACAAAAGGCATGTTAAACCCTATAGGGAAAAAAAAAAACACAAAAAACCCACGAAAACTGTCAAACATTTATGGCAATTGACTGGATGCACTGATTTTAAAAGGCTGCATCTGCTTTTCATTACAACTACTGGCTACAGTCGTCATCCACACATCCCTCCTACAGCCCCACCTACAACTGCTCACGCTGCGTTGTTGACTGTTTGCCCCCGCCTGTTGCCTGCTCCCTCCACTAGCACTGGTTAGTGAAGGTGAGGAATGCCAGAGCGCTTAGGCAATACACAAATCATGCACTTGGGCTGCATCTTGCTTTTGTTTGGCCTGTGGGCATGGCCTCTGTGGCAGTCACAGCATTGGTTGTGTGTGTAATTAGTAAGGATTAGTCTGAGCGCAAAATTTGTGCAATAAAATTAGACTTAAGCAGAGGCACTTCCAAGGGAAAGATGCATCTGGTGGTATCTTTTCAGAGTCAAACAGCTATGAAAGCTAGTTAAGTTCTCACCAATTTAATTCTCCTGGTGAATTAGGATTTTTTTCTGAACTAGAAATAAAAAAAACTAATGAAAAAAGTAATCTTCTGTAGTGCCTACCTCTTCTTCTTCCCATTCCCTCAAACAAACTTTGCATTGCTTCTGTAGTATTTTAAATGTTTTCTCTCTTTTCTTGGCAAATAAGTCAATCTGTGACTGTGCATCAGCCACTCTCTTTTTTATTTTTTTTAGAAGGCGGTGTGGCAGTAGCCCAATATCTCAGTACCATCAAAAAAGCTGCCTGTGGCTATGCTTCACACAGCTTTCAGTTTGTCTTAAGACAAGCTCAACATTAAGACACTTTAATTAACAGACACATTTTGGTGTCTGAACGCGAGCGAGACATCCAAGCTCCCACCATAGTGTGAAGAGTCAAGAACACTGGTCAGTTCAGCCCATCTGAAGTAGACACGTGTATACACAGACAGCTGAACAGCTCCACTACCTCAAATGGTATGTTAGACTATGTGATAGAAAGCCCTTTACATCCCTGTAACTACATCCTTCACAGGGATTAATTCACTTACTGAAACACAGACCTCTGGTGTGACTGAGGCTGACAGATAAGACGGAATTGACAAGAGACTTGTGCTGTTCTGCACCAGCAGCTGGAGGCCAGACTGTGAACCCTACATGAGACTGGGCTTCTCCCCTACATGATACTGAGCTTCTCCCCTACATGAGACTGGGCCTCTGTGTGTAGGCAACTGAATCATACCCTGATTCCCTTGTGGGGGAAGTGTCTCCCCATATAAATATAGTTGGATTCCTTCAACAGCTACACTGATTTCAGTCACTAGAAAAGATGGGCTGTAGTGCACTACTGAGTTACACACTGAGAGAACACATTCAAGATACTGCAGTTTTCATAGACAGACTCATTTTCAGAGTTCATATACGCCTAGGACAAACTCCTTATAACTATTGCTTTAAGCAGCTCATGAGCTTTGTCAGAATTTCTGATTTGTGCTTCCAGCTGTAGGTGCAAATCTGGAGCTAGCACAGCTTACTTGTTTGCAATCACATGCTGTTCCCACAAAAGGTAAACTGGGCTGCTAAATCAGTACCACATGTCTTGGGCAGTGCTGGGTACAGCATGTCCTGTACCTACCTCTGCCTGTAAATTTAGGCCTGTGCTTCTATTCTTAGCTATATACATCTCAATCAGTGAAAATATGGATCCCATTTGGCTTTCTGTGGATACAGAGCAAGCTGCAATCTACTTTATTCAATGACAAGTACTTGATTTCTCTTGATAAAATCTCTACACTCTATAAAAATTTAATTATCTGCAATAAAACACATTGTGCCGGGACAGATCAAAGACAATACATTTATTAAACTTTGAGAAAAACAAACAAAACACTGACATCAGGAAAGTTAAATAGAAACTGAAAGACACAAATCTTCTCACCGGCATTTAATGGCTTGTGTGACCAGTAAAGTACCAAAATGACATTCTGAGTTTGATTGAGGTATTTATCTATTTTTGGCAATAGAAACAGAGTAAGAAATTTCTTCCAAACACACACATAGGCATTAATTGTATTAGTGTCTATCACCTATGAAATTTTATATGAAAGTAAATAATGTAGCTGTTAGAAAAATATAGCAGCAAATTAGCAGAATATCTAATGCACATTTATCATAAAGTCCGTGCTAACCTTAAAAATCCCTCCCAGTAGTTGAGTCCAGTCCCGAAGCCCCTGGTCACAAACAGAGCTTCGGTGGATTCAGTGGGAGACACCACGAACGTGAGCTGCATTCGCTGCCCTTCACAAACTTCTGTTCAGGGAAGGGAAAGGAAAGGAAGATCCCCATTTGCTTTCTAAGTAGTACTTCTGCTACGATGGCCTGCTAGGGTAACTTCTGAAGCAGTAACTGCTCATTGCAAAGCTCTGGAAAGTTCCTAATATACTTAAGAACAAGAAGCTTCCCCTGCTGAGTTTTGTTTCCTCTCCTTCCTCCTTCCAGAAATCTGGCCTAATGCAATCAGAGGAGACGTTGCTAGGCTGCAAAAAAGAGACCAACACCTTGGAACGACACTGGATTCGATTCCCTCGATCCACTGAAGTCATTTAAACCCAGCATAGCTTCAAAAATGAACTGCTGGCCAAATCCTGAAGTCTTTATCGCTTTAATCAACACTTTATGTGGCACAAACAAATGACTGTAGTGACAACTTTGGCTGTAAGAAGGCTTCAGAACTTGGTCAAATGTGAAAAGATTATGCTGCTAAATCACTAGAGCTTATTCATGTGTGTTCCAAAATTGTTCAATGTAAGTGTAGTTGTACACTGTTACATACTGTGGTCAACAAAAACTTGCTTATAAAAAAGTATATTATTAGTATTAACCAGGATCGGATGGAGCAGAAAATATAATTTGCCCGAATATTCTGTATATTTTAAAGTTTTCTACAAAACTTTCAATTTCATGTATATTTCTATATTACTTACTGTAAGAAAGTAATAGGATCAGCTACTGTAGTTTCCTACAATATTTCAAAACTTTTCTATAGGTTTCCTTGGAGGTATAAAATGGCTCTGTAAAAAAATCTGTTCTTTTTTTCTTTTTGCTGCACACAAAATTTTTATAAAGCAAAAAATACTTTTCTAATATTGCAGCAATTTCATTGCTTAGATGGGTCATCATAATTAAACTACAGTGTGTAGTGTAATATAAAACATTTATGCTTTTATGACTAAAATATTAAAATATATTTTATTAATTTATATAAATCAAAATAAATGTGTTCTTTATTCAAGCTATTTTTGTTTTTTTCACCTATATGTTCAGTTTCCAATTACTGCTATAAAGATCTTTGCCAACAGCATGATTTTTATTAAACTCTTAGACTTTAAACCACCTGATTTTTAGCTTTATCAAAAAGCACGATTTACTGTACATTAAACATAGTAATTTCAATGCTTGGTATCACAAAAATCAACACCCACAATAACAAGACAGTCACTGCTAGTAAAACAGTCTCAAGACAAATTCATAGATAATATTTACAGAACACAATAGGAATATTTTGATGAATATTTTATGTTTCAACATCTCAGATAAAATTATAACAACCACAAGAAACTTTTAAACTTCATTTTGGTTTCAGCATACAAGCCCAAGCTGACTCTCTGCCGTGAAATACTGCATACACCTAGTCAAACAGGACACGTTAAATTCTTGGTCTGGCACAGGCAGCACAGTTGCGTTGAGCACAAGGCCTTGTGGAGAGTGAACTATATGAATAGAAGTATAGTCTGGCACAGGCATCTCCAAGCTCGGGGTTTCTGCTGCCGGCCCCCCGAGGCTGATGCCGGTAGTGGTAAGGCTCTCTGTGGTGAAGTAAACGTCCTCGTTGCAGCTTTGCTCTTGAGCGCATGGCTCTCCCTCCTCATGCGAAGTCACAACAATGCATTTTTTCACGTCTGCCTCACAGAAGTAGGCACTGTCCACGGTGAAGTTTTGTTCTGCACAACCCTCACACTCTGCTCTCCCCACCTTGGATTTCTGCCCAGGAGAGAGGACGACGCTGCCTGCTGGAGTAATATCACTCACTTGCGCATAGAAGTCAGTATTTGTCAGGGAATTCTGGTTACTTAGCTGGGTATGGACTGAGGGACTGGATGCTTCAACACCGTCAGCAAAAGGTGGCCACAACTCATTATTTTCACACGGAATTTTAACATTTTTCGTATTAGGCTTTTGGGTGTCTGTATCTAAGATTAGACTAGGAAGCGACTCGTTATCTTTCCTATCAAGGCACAAGAGATCCTCTTCTTTCTCAGTTATCTTTTTGAACTGATCAATGTTAGAGATAGCATCATACCTGTCACTAGCACTGAAGTCTGTCTCTGGAATATCTGGTTCACAACAACTGGCCCGTCCAGAATCATCATCCTTTGCCCCCAGGCAACTGTGTGATTTCAGATGATCATCAGTCAGGAGCCGGTCGGTATCTGAACCTCTGTTCTTTTCATCAGGGTCCTCTATGTCCAACTCAATGAACTCAACCCACAAGTCATCATTGTACAGCTGTGTCTTGTAGCTGTCATGGCTGGCTAAGATGGAGTTCACTTCGTCTAGCTTTCCTTTCTGTAAAGCAAGAAAAAACAAATGTTATCAAGGAACAAGTGAAAAATTTTGTGCTTTTTGAGATGTTAACTTAAGGAAAGATAAGTGTAGCTGATGTAATGGCTGCAAGGTGAGTTCTTCTTCTGTACTTTATGAAAACCAATTTTATCCCTTCATTTCATGATTTCTTCCTATAAAACTGTTCTGCCTGGAGAACAATTCTCACCTGGTACTACTGCAATGATTCCCACTCTGAAGATTTTAGATCATAACATTACCTTTAGAAGATCGGGGTCAATCCCTTTAATCTTTGGAACTGGCACAGGAGGAAAAATCAGCATTTTTAATCTGGGAAAAAAAAGATTTTTTTTTAGTTTGAAATGGTCCTTTATGTTCTGAAACAAGGGAATTTTACACTGCCTTTATAAATGTTTACTTCAAAACTGAAAGGATTTAAATTGAATTTGAGGATTCAATTTAAACTAATGCTAAGGAGAAGGATTGTTTCCTTCTCTCCTTCCAAATAGGTTTTATCCTTGTAGAGAGAACTAGTCACTTGCTAATGCATAGATACTTAGTATAGAAATAGATATTATTCCAGTCCTTCATAAAGCAAGTAAATTTTGGAAAAAATCCAAAGAGAAAGATGATTCTCCATAATATAATAATAATCCAATAATAGTGGGCCATGCCTACCATCTCCAGTTAACCTCTGTGCTTCTTTTGCAAACAGAAGAACTGTACTTCCCAAAAGGAAAATTCATCCATTCTCTTTATACTGCATCACTTGCCTACTTGAGAAGGTAAGCTATGAGAATATAAGATCCAAATCCAAACACTAGTTTTGTTAATAACCTTGGTGAAGCCCAGGAAGGACCTGAGGAGCCTTAAAAAAGTGCCAAAGAAAGATTTAGGCACCTTCTGCCTAGCTATGGAAGGCCCAGATTGCCTAGGTGTTTTGTTTCTTTGGCAAGCACTGCCCAGTAAGTTAGAATAGTGGCCAAAATCCCAGTAACTCTGCACCTACTCCCCGGAGGGTTGTGCTTGCTGGGCTCTGACCCTGCTCTCAGAGGTGCTCCAGGACTGCGCATAGCGTCTAACTAAACAACTGAAAACTTCTGCCTATCACTGCCCGGAGAAGCTGTTCAGGAGTGAGACCTGGGCTCCTTTCTTACCCTCAGGTAGTTCAAAACTGCCTCTCTCCGCTTTACAGAGAATGAGCTAACTACTGTAGATAGGGCAGCGCTCCTAGGGAGCCTCGTTTGGGTCTTGTGAGGTCACAGTTGAGGGAAATAGGAATTGGTATCTGGTACCCTGCATCTACAGGAGGAAACTCAATCTTGGTATTTGGCATTATGGGAGATCTACGTAGCCTCCTCCTCTATGGAAGTTCCCACTCCCCCCAACGCAAAGGAAGGGTTATGGCTAACGAGTCCAGAAAAACATCCCAGATAAAGGGCCCTCAGTGGAGGAAAGCCTCCTCTGAGAATCATGAGGAGCATCTAAAATCTGAAGGAGCTGTGATCAGATATGCTTCAGCCTTCAGGTTTTTCGGTGCCCAAGACCAAGCCACTCCTGGCTTGGAGTGCTCACTTGAGCAAGCTCCAGGTCCCATGTGTGAGTTGCTCTCTCCCCATTCTGACGCTACTACTGCTGCTACAGGGAGGGGCTGCCTGAAAGTCAAGCATTGCCAAAACTTTGAGCTGCTTGCCTGTATTTTTTCTTAGAGCTAGCTCAGACTGCACCCGTTGCTCCGTCTTGTTCTCATTTCAATGACTTGCTGTCATGCTGGGATGAGAACACCCGTCAATGCTCATTTTCAGAGCATACATATGAGACCACTGACAGGCATGGGGGATCGACTGTGATGTTGCTCCACAATCTAGGATGGTGCTGCCATGACATCCCAACTGAATTAGTTCTGCCGAAACCCATCCCTGAACACACATTTGGGGCAATGAATTTGTTTTGAAACCATTCTATCATTTTTATAAATGAGAAAATCCTGAGCTTTGTTTTGGTCATCTTATTTGTAGGAGCATCAGTCTGTTCAGAGACCAAATACTGCCTTATGACTAAAACTTTTTCCCGTGGCTCTGAGAAGAAACAGTGATCATCTGAATAGTCTAACAACAAGAAACATATTGACATATATTGGGGGAATTTTTGAAAAAAAATGTATAAAACAGTATTTACAAAACTTCAACAGACTAAAAACCTAATTCCATTCAAAGCCTTCAGTAAATTAGCCAAATAAATACTGTGCTATACAATGTTCTGCAATCGAAAGAGAACAGGACCTGTTGCTCAGACTCCCCCTGCTCAAGGCCCAGTGCTTATAAATGCCAGCATCTATGTTTCTTAGGAGGATGGGAAACAATCTCTAAAATAGCTTTCAGACCCCTAAATTAAAAAAAAAAAAAGAAAACACCTATTTTTTAAACTGCAAATAAACAAAACCTGATAGATGAAAACTGCCCACCTTGGTTGTTTAGACAACAGGACTAAGATCACTGTTACAGCCAGCCCACATGCTCCGAAGATGACAACTAAGAACCAGGGAAACTCAATTTCTGTAACAAGAGAACAAAAATTGATTAGCAGGAATCTACGCCTCTGTTGCATGTTTAATTTTAACCTTTTCTTCTGCTGCCCAAAAATTCCAAAGCTATGAAAAACAATAAGGGAATTTCTGGTTACTTAAATGTAAAAGTTTTGTAGTAAGCAGAAACAAAAAATACCCTTTCAGTCTCAATGGTTTCTATATTGCATTTGTGAGTCTACTTGGATCCTTGCAGAAACAGACTGAGTTTTTAATGTCAACAAAAGCAGAGACAACATAAGAAGCAAAAACAGTCATGAGAGGAATGTTCTGACTGCTTGGAGCGTGCTAGTAGTTGTGATACCATGTAATGCTGCGAACCATGTTACTGCTTCTGTTGGCCAGCACGGAGTGAACACTATTTACAGTGTGTAACTCTACGAAATCATAGGCAAGCCATCCCTCTCTCCCAGAAACTAAAATATGGCCGTGTCAGAAATCACAACACAACTCTTTCAGTGGTTGATTATTCATTTTATGTTCTGAGTAGTGTCAAATGCAAAAAAAAAAAAAAGGTATTCTTTCTTTTCCTCTTTTCATTTACATTGCATATTGTTACAAGGAGAAAACGTAGATGACTGGTAAGTTTGGTAGGAATAAAGAATAATGCTGATAAATGTTTTCTCTCTGAAATACTGGCAATTACATCATACTCAAGCTGGCACTGTGCAAAACACAAAGTAGAGAAAAAATATTCTGGCTATAGTCTTAGATTATTCTCATTTGTTCCCAGTGTTAAGTTTTCCATAAAAACCTCACTTATTTTTATGATGAAGAGATACTGGATGGAGTTCCATATATGAATATAAATATATAGTGTTTGGAAAAAAAAGTACTTTCAGGCACTGGTTCTAGCTCTCTATTCATAGGTTAGATTTTGACTTAAAATCTTTTATGCAGATAGGCCTATGTGAGATTTTTCCCAATTTTGGTAAAAGAGAAGCAGTAAATCCTTGCCATGTCAGTGAGAGCTGTGGATATCCTGCTGTGCTGCTTTGAAAAATTGGAAGATTACATTCAAATTGAAATGCTGAAAATTTCAAATTTACTTCTATGTTCTGAACGGTGAAGTACTGAAGAAGAAAAAATAAATTTTGCCACACTGGAGTTGCTGTCTCATTTTTCTTGTGCAGAATTTCCAACTTAGTCCCAGTCCAACAACTCAATACCTGGAGGGGAAATCATCCATCAAATCAGATCACTGCTGCTGTGTGAGAATTACAGGTATCTGTGTTGCAATGACTGAGGAAAACTGTGTCATATGACAACTTAGACTTTCAGAGGTTTTTCATTTTGTTCATATGAAAACTGTGACAATTCAGATTGATTTGGGGTAGCAAAAATGCCAGGGTTTCATATAAAATACGAGTAAAAATATTAATATAAAAAGCTAAAAAAAAATAAGGGGGAAATCTAGCTAGATTTTGAAAGGTAAGAGTTATGTTTGATTTTTTAACACCTCCAGTAATATTCTAGAAAACAAAGTCTGTTAAAAGAATGTGCTAAGGAAATCATATTTTGAAGAGCTATTTTAGTTTCTCACACCTGAAAATTCTTTAGGATAAGGCACTACCTCATTCTTTTAACAGACCAAAGGTAGTGCCCAGAAGTTGTTTCTTCTTCTGCCTTACTTCAAAAGCAAGTACAAGCACGAAGGAGGCAAACACTGTGCTTACTAGTTGCAGGGACATTGGGAAAGCACAGCACAGTTCTGATAACAGACTCAGCCGGTTTTATGGAAGGGACAATTCTCTGCCTCACTTTTAAAGTGATCAGTTTACACAGTGAAGTGTGCGATTTCACTGTTGTTATTTTAGACTCTATGGTGTGGGCAACAGCAGTTATTGCTTCTGATTTTTGAAGTTACCCATATTTTTGCTCTCTGAAGAGCTGTGATTTTTTCCTGAGTTTACTTCTGAACACATATATAAAACTTATACACTCTCAATCTCATCAAGTGAATTTCACTTAATAAGCTGACAATATATTCAGGCATAAAACATAAAAGGAAAGAATAAACAAATAGACAAAAAACACAGCAATGCTTATAAAAACACTTTGCTACTTTTGGCTTCTTTACCTTCAGGACAATGAACAAGTTCAAGGCCTGCTTGAGAAAAAGATACATAAAGGATATCACTGAACTCCCCAAATTTTTCAGAAGTTCGTTGTCTTGATCGAACTCTTATCTCATAACCTCTTCCCGTCTTCAGAGAGTACAGCGGGACCATTGTTGAGAGCCTGGGTTCTAGCTGTAGAGAAAGAATGACTGATTTGTTTGTTGCATATTCAAACTTAGCATTCACAAAATTAGCAATCAAAGGCACATTTGCTACTTGGAACTTGCAAAGGCACCACAAGAAGCGTTCAAAGAAAATTCACGCCATTTACTTTGAACCTACTAGCCACCAAGCTGCTTTGATTTAGGAGATTGAGATGGAGAATCCAAGTTCTCTGTTAAGTCCAGTCAATGAAAAAAGGCAGCTGTGCCCATATACTCTGCAAGTAGGTAGTGTGAATATCTCCCAGTGATCTCATCAAGTTGTAAATCTTTTTTTTTTCTGTTATAACACACTATTACCATCTTCACAGTGCCAAAAACCTTGTTCAAATAACATGAAAGTCCTAAAACAACTGTAATCCCCATTACAGATTCTGTTTTAAGAAGGAAAATGAATTAAAGGCATCTTAGATAAATGCCTTAGAAATCTGCCTTTTTTCTTTCTTTTTGGAAGACTGCATAGCTGCCAAAATCTTGACGTATATATAAGTGGGATAATGCATAGAGACAACGGTAGAGCTGGGATCAGATTGTAGTTCTATAGACTTTTACATTTAAGCATTAACTGCAACATACTTGGATATTGCTGCATACCAAACTATGTAGGAAGACACACTGGAGGTCTTAATATGTGAAATCTCTCCTTATACTCCTCTTCTGAAGAATATTATTTTCTCACACTAAAAGACCAGTGCAAGCAAACAAAAAATGTACACAAAACATAAATTCACATGGCACAGGGAATACAATCGACTATCACACACTAGCCCATCTTACTTATTTCATGCTATGAAGTCACAAAGAAAGAATACTTTTTTTTTTTTGCATGAGATGTTTTTATTGAGACATCTAAAGGAGATTCTTATGCCAGGGAAGCTAGGGCACTACTGTCCAGGACAGCAGTGGCCAGGCACTTGTAAAGGGCAGTATACAGGCCAAAATGGAGACCTGAAAAACATGAAGTGTAATTACTGCAACTGTGTAATTTAAATGACCTCACTTGCTGGAGGTACAAGATGCACTTCAGAAAGTGCTAATAAGGAATGGCGTATTTGATCAGAAGGATCAAATCAAGTGAAAACTATGAGAGACACCAGATAAAAGGTAACCAGTAAAAATGAATGGCAGCGCATAGGAAACTCATTTAGGCAATTTAGGCACTGGCTTCAACTGTCCCTGGTGGAAAATAGAGTGAGAAGTGGGAGAAGTACCAAACCAGTTCAGAGAGTGAAAGGGGGGGCAGCACAAGGCGGGCACCCACACAGCCCCATGCTCTGTGGGGATGGTGGCCAGGCCATCCAGTGCATTCGCTCACATCCCCCAAATGATCCTCCCCGTACATCAGGCTTTGCTGCCCTGAGAATACTGCAACGTAAATTTGACCTTTGCCAACAAAAAATCGACAAGATATGAGAGCCAGCAGCGAGTCCGCCAGAGTCCGGTCTTATTCACAGTGGACTGACTTGTGGGCATCAGTGACATTCCACACGAGGTAGATTTGGGCCTGTTCTTTTTTTTTTTTTTGTAAATAAATGAAAAGATCAACCCAATCTAAACTATAATAAATACTAGAGGAAACGTAGATTTTTAAGATTCCCTACCTTGCATACATTTTTTGGTACTTCACTTCTAGATCATCACTCTTCACTACTGTTTATACGACAAGCGAGTTTCCACACCTCATGAGGAGAACACCACAGCCTCACAGAGACTGTTGCTCCTCATAATTATCAAACTTGCACGAACATTAGAGTCACAGATTTTCAGTCTAGTGAGTGAAACGGGCAACACTTTAAGATAAGAAATTTAAAAAGATATTCAACAAATAACTTGTAACAATAGCAAAAGTTTTCCAAAGAGTAACTACATTGAATTTGGATCTGTCTCATGAACAGTTACTAAACGAGAATGGGGATTTTATTGTTTTAGGAAGTTTCTCAGGAAATAATTTCGATTCTTTCAGCACTGTGATTTACTCTTGCAATACTTTGTTAATTAAAGTTTAATCCCTATACCAAGATGTAAGTTATCTACTTTCAGTTATCAAATGGACTGAAAGAAGCAGGTACAATATACATAAAAAAACCAAACAGGTTAATCCCTCAAAGACTGCAAAATAAAATTACAAACCAGCCTTGTTTGGTAAGTCCCATAAATTCATATTTGTATCAATTACATGTAGAAAGCTTTATGTCAAATTTAAGTAGCCAGTATCCTTTGTGTATAAAACTAATAATTTTAAAATTGAAAATGTAACTCTCCATCCATCATACACTATCCATCAGTAGTACCTCTTTACTGCTTCAGTATTTGTTTTACAAGATATTTGTACAAATACCTGCTTTTTACAAGCAGAAAGGAATGCAAAGAGAGAGAACCCTAGTTTTGTCTTTTGCTATTATCTTAGCCCAGATCAAAATTTTGTCTAGAAATTTCACTTTTGTGTTCTAATTGATAGTTTTGCAAGGAATTACGCCATGTGGAGTAGGCTGAAAGGCAGGATAATACACAATACAGCCCCAATAGAACACAATCATCTGGGATACTGTTTCTTGAGGCAAGTAGAGCATTCAGCAATTCCTTAATGGTTTTCTGAAAGAAGAAAGATTGAACTTCAAGTCTTTGCCCCTCCCAAGAAGAACTATTCTCAAGACGTACTGGAATTACTGCTAATGGAACTAGCAAAGAGATTTATTAGTGTATTTGTATGATTGATAGCTAAAGTCGTGTAAAAAAAAATCTAGACTTGTCATTTTTAAAGAGATATTTGGATTGCCATCTTCTTTTGCAAGTCTCATACAAAACCCTGCAGGCTTTCAAGTTGTTCCTGTATTGATTTATTGCCTAAACTTAACCCATTAGTAGGCTTTAAGATATAGATGGTACACAGTAAATAAATACAGCCAATGTCAGTACATAGAAAGAAATTCAGACAAGGAAAAGTTAGTAAAAATTATAGACATTATAGGCCTTGCTTGACTATGGACTTACTGATAAGAAATAAACAGAAAATGTTAGCATTGAAAAGGGTTGAAGGTGAGAAGGGGTCAAAGGCCTTCCACAGATAAGGCCAACAAATCAGCTTCACTACAAATATTTCACTTGGTAATCTGTCTTTTATAAGTTAAGACAAATTATTGAGTGTGTCTGATTCACTCTGTCAGTTAATTCATTCCTATTAATAAAATGATATAAGAAAGGTTCTACTTTTCTACTCTGAATCATGTTCTTATTTCATTGAACTGATGTTTAGAAAGATGTCCCTATATCCAAATATTCTGTAACATACTGACATTTAGCCTAGACATTCAGATAAGCTGGATACATTTTTTTTTCCATAATAAGAAAAATAACTTCATGAGAAGTTAGTGGTCTTCAAAAGAAAACCTAAAAGATTTGCAGTATAAACATTTCATTTTTTCAAGTCCTATCTTTATAGACACATTTTTCAAATTGCTTTCTTGTCTGAAACTTATATGTCTTATACATGTTTCATTGGTTGCCATTTATAAAAATTAAATTACAAGTATTTTCTTCTTAAATCACTTTTCCCATATATACTAGAATTTTACAGATGCCTTAGAAAATCTGGACTGACACTGTGACATTTTCCAGGAATAAAATATTTATTTCAGCTATTAAAAGGATGCATGCACTATTTCAAACAGCTGAGGTTTAGCAAACTGATAGAGAAGTATTTTATTCATGAAAAGCTTGTGTATATCTGATTATTACTATACTTTCTAATCTAACAAAAGGATCTCAGGGTCTGCTGTTATTAACTGGTATGCTAAGTATCTGGACATGAAAAGTTAAGATATTTGCCCGAAAACTTCAGAAGAATACATTTATACTGTTTAATACGTAAGGTATCATCTACTTAGCAATTACAAACCTGTTACTTTTCAGAATAGTGCAAAAGAATTAGGGACAGAAGAAGCCTGCACTGTACTACTTTTACATAACAAGTATTTGCTTCATACCTCCTTCCATTTTGTCTCATTAACTTCTTTGTACTGCAATTCATACTCCAGAGTAATCCATCCCTTCTGAACATCTGCTGTTGGTGGCGGATCCCATCTTACTTGGATATCCCCATGGATCCCAGTCTGACTAGTATTTAGCAGAGTCCAGTTAAGGTGGACAGGGGGATCAGGTAGTACTGTTTAAACAGAGTATTTGGAATAAAACAGCCATTTTTCAATGTGAAATGACCATTCTTGCTACACACTGCTAAATGATTTCAGGACTTAAAAAGCATCTTAATCACAAATATGCTGATTAGTATCTAATCCTATGAATTCATGACAAAATAACTAAAAGCTTAAAAACAGGAGAGCATCCTGCCATTGGAGACAGATATGCTTGATGAAAATCTTATTCAAATGACTAATAAAGACTAAGAATACATTACACTTTATTCTCCAATAGCTTATAAACGACTGAGACATAATCAATTATCCATCAAAAATTAAAACTGTTAATTTAAAGTTCTGATTATGAATAAAAATATTCCTTGCAGGAATAATGTGGTAACTGTATGTGTGTATATCACTGATCTGAAGAAATAGTAACATCCAGAAAGTCAAATTACAGCCACAATTTATATGGCAACAAATATAAGCTCTAGCTTAGAAGTGCTAAGCATGCTGATTCTGCAACCTAAAGCTGATTTGGGGAAAAAAAAAGAAAAGAAAAGAAAAAAAAAAAAGGAAAAAAAACTTATATGGTTCCAGAATTTTGCAGAATCAAGATTTGGTGACACCTTCATTGCTCACAAAGAACAGGGTGAGCAGTGTCCATTAGGGAGGGCCGGGAGTGACAACAAAGACAAACTCATCTGCACACATTGCATATATTTGAGTGACCAGTGATTTTCATAAAGAGAAACTACAAATTTACTTCTATCCTTGCAGCATTCTATAACCCTAGGTAATACTTTCTGGTGTGGCTCACATTTCAGATGTTACAAAACCAAATCCTTTTCTATATGTTATATTTTTTAAAGCTAGCCTTCCCATGAGGAAGTATAAACAATAAGAAAGCCTATAGAACCATACCTATTGTGGTAAAAAATAGAGTTAAAATGCAAAATGGAAGCATACCTATTTCATCAACACTGAAACATTTTTCATCAAATACTTCATCTTTATTGGCAAGCTTAACACAATATGGTATCCAAATAGAGGTGTAAGACGTGTTGAAATAACAGCTATTTTCTCCTGCAGTGATATAATCAGGACATTCTTTCCAGTCTTCATCATTCCTAGAATGACAATAGAAACATAATATAAATGAGAGAGAGATTTACAGATTTCGTAAGATACAAATTATAGATGTTACAAGACAAACTGTTCTTAAGTCACAACTTGTATGGAACTGAGAAATATATTTCAATATTTATTGTGATTACAAAAAAGCCAAGCCATTATCCAAGCTACCAGCATAGATGTGCCTAGGTTCTCATGTACTCTTGGTGGCATTTCCATGGTTTGGGTGGCTCTGATGACTCACATGGACAAGCGCCCGAGGGCAGAGGCCCAGCACAGGGAAGAGAAATACTGGTGATACTGGACTTCTAAGACACAGGCTTGGAACTACTAGTGAAGAAACTAACTGTGTTTTTTCCACTCTGACTTTGTTCAGAAATTCGCATTACTAGCAAATTAAAAAACTGCAACAGGAATATCATATTAATATGAATCATTTCACCTCCTCAAGGAGAGAATCTCACAGAGTCATAAAGAGTGGTTGGCATCCTCACACTGAGAAACACTGCTACTCTCTATATACTGGCATTTTCAGATGAGCTGAGCTAGCTGAGCTAGATAAGCTGAGAGGCCGAGCTGAGACTATCTAGCAGGTCCAAACCCCAAAGTGTCTTCCATTAAAGCAAAATGGAAAGGACTAAGTTGTTAGAAATATACTACAGGAAAGTGACAGATGTTTACTCATATTTCTAAAATCACTTTAGAAAAACAAACCTCACTGTGAATAGTCCTGCTGTTGCTGTTGCTGATCTCTAATACTACTCTCACACCCAATAGGCTGAATCTTTACAAACATACTGTTAGAGGCTTGATGGAGAAATAACAGACTTTTCTTTAAAAAGTGTAACAAAAATATCTTTTCCTACCAAGAGCCACTCAAGCTACATGAGAGGATGAGGTTGAAACCGAGTTATGCCAAGTGGAGCCTTCAATACATGAGTGGCTGTCTAAGAACCAAAATTTGAAATGTAGATGCTACATAACCTGAGAAAAGAGCTTCCATGCCACTAGGCACATGTTTTGCTCTCACCCAATGAGGCTGGACGCTTATCTAAAAGAAATGCTGCAGCTCTGACAAAGCCAACACCTGATGAAGGTGTATTGGGATAGTATGGCCTGTGCTATGTTTGATACTCAGTTATGTGATGCAGTTGTGTCCTGATCCTTCAATGATGTTTGCACATTAAAATAGAAACATTTTCAAAGTGGATGTTCAGTTCACACCTTTTATCACACCATATTTATGCCTGGGGCAAAAATGAAATACCTGATCTGTCCATCCTATATGAATTAATTTTTAAAGTTTGCCCTCTCTTGGTGCTTGCAGCAGATCATTTACACTGAAACATTGTTTTTTACCTTGGATCCAAAATCCACCTACGTAATGTAGAGACATAATGAATCTCACAGCTACATGTTAGGTCAATAAGAAATAAACTGGAGATCCATACTAAAACTCCCTTCCTAAGCCATACAGTGTTCAAATTTGTATTCTGCAACACAGATCCATATTTATTAAGAAAGTTTTCTTAATTTTCTCCAAGTAACACTGGTTACTACAGGAGACTTCATAATTAACAAAGAATTGTAACATTGAAAAATTAGCATTTAAAAAACAATTTTATGCCCTTAAAAACAGTATGGTTCATATCATAGCAAGAAAGCAATGCAATAAGAGGCATATCTAAACGAATGACTACTTCCTTTCTTTTTCCATTTTATTTACCTTTTCATATACAATAGCTGTATTGTTCCTGGAGCAGTTAGATTATAAAAATTTCCATCAGTCCAATAACATGAAAATGTCTCCAGTTCAGGTGATCTGCACTTGCTGATTTGTGGCCACTGCAGAAGATCTGTCACAAAAAAATGGGAGCGGTCAGAATGAGACTTAAGTATACAAAAAAGACTATCATACTGCTAAAGTGAAACTTGCCATTTTTATGCACAATTATCTTTTTCTTTTAATCACTTATGTACAATGAGGTAAGATTTAAAGTAATGTTATACACATATATCTTGTTGACGATCCCTGTAAATGATGAAATAGTAAGAAAGAAAAAAGCTATTGCACAGTGTGGAAATTTTGGTATTGCAGCTACATACACCTGGGGGGTACACCAACACTGTGGCCATAGTTCAGTACAGACGCACGCCAGAACTTGCTTTAAAGAACTGTGGCACTCCAGAGCTCACCATTAAACTAACTATGACTTCAGTATTTACCCAGCTGAGCAGTGTTGCAATATATCAGGCACTTCAGGGCTCACTTAGTGTAGCTACCTTGAACTGTGTTCACGTTTGCCTACACTGCATTGCATAGATACAACCTTGCTCTGAGAGATAAGGGCAGCTCTAAGCATGTGCCTGTCCTGCCACATGCTGCTTTTTTGTTCATTATTTCTGTTCTTTGTCAAAACTGGAAGGACCTAAGACTATTAAATGGCAAACACCATCAGTCAACCTTGTCGATCCCTGTAACAAAAATAAAAAGTGGTGGGTATGATTCACTGCTTCCAAAGTAAGTACTTAACTTCTACCTGATTTTAATGGTACAATGGTTTCATGAAGCAGCCATCTGAAAATATCAGTGTTTCCTATTTAGATTCTAAAAATTTCCAAGGGGACACCATATGGACATGGAGGTGGCTATCTCCTTTCACCAGCTAGCTGGGAAACATGATCATTTAGATGACAGAAGACAGAAAATGTCTTCGATAGGCACCTAACGTTTTGATACAAGATGGGTGTTTATGATAAGTGGAATGATCCCTGGCCAGTGAGGAAGGCAACACTGCTGTGTTGTGCATGGGAAGTTTTTGCAAATATTTTTGCAATATCACAACTGAAAATATCTGCTACAAAATATCAGACACTCAACATTGAGGAAAGTACCTACCCAATACAGATGCTTCTGCCCATGTATGAGGACCCTGTATGTGGAGTTTACAGAGCATCGACTCTTTAGTTAAGGCTTATATAGACTACAGACACTGAATGACAGAGCAGCTTGTAGTTCTTTAGTTTATGGCTCAGACTGTCCCATCTACATTCTACACTGCCAACCATTTACTGAAATGAACAGTAACTAATATGTGAATACTGTGAACTTCTGATTTGCTCGCCCCGTATCATTGCCTCATTTAACACTTTGGACATTGAACAAGGACTCAAGAGAATTATGTAAATAAGACATTTTGCAAGATTGGCAGCTAAAGCAAAAAAGTATTTTATTTTTTTCTTGACCTAAAATAATTGATGTTTGATTCAAAGACTTAGGATTTTTACTGTTCCCTAGCTAGAAATCTGCCTTTTAACTGAACTTTAAAAAAAATCTTTTTTTAATTGGAAAAAAAGTGAAATGTTGCAGCAAATAGAAAGAGTGAATTGTTTTTTTTCCCCAGAAAACACTGAAATAAAACATTTTGACTATTGCACATTGTTTGGTTTGGTAGGGCATTCAGTTGTTTGACAGATTAAGCCTAAAATCCCTAAATACTTTGGGCTGACCTTGAGCTGAACTTTTAAAAATGTTTACATCACTCTTCGAACCAATTTTTTTCTGGTAAAAATCCTATGGTAAAAAACACATGCACCCTACTGTAATATACAGTCAAAAGAAAATGGAATAAAAGATGCAAGAACACTACTATTTTTCATTTTAAAAAATCATAGAGGTTCCAGCTTTCAAACTTTCTTTCATATTTAATACAAAATCAAACCCTTGTTTAAAAACAAAAGAAAAAGAAATGAAATTTTGTGCATCTACTTCAGAGACATGAGTAAAATTGCCTCAACTGTGTAATACCTATAATCAAGGAGTTTCTCTCTTCTTCTATAAACAGATAATGTGCACAAAAGTACATGTTTCGGTTTTTCCTGTTTCTAGCCTCAGTGGTAGCATGAAAATTGAGAACAAATATAGATAATTTCACTAAAACAGGTAAGAGCTTAAGAAAATAATATACTGAAAAAAACCTCCTAAATTAGAATATTTCTATTGATTCCTACATTTGCAGCCAGGACACAAAACAGTTGAAGTCCATGCAGATCCTCATCTCCAGGTGTAAATAAAATCACACAATGACTTCTTAATATGACCAAATAACAGCTGGAATCAAACTTCACATACTTTCAGAGACTGCGTAAGAGTTTAGATATCTTAATAATGAATCCAGCTGAACTCATAAGCTTTATATATGAGCAAAATTAAGGTCTATAGGTCTAAAATTAAGGTCTATAGGTCTATACTAAGGTCTATTAAGGTCTATAGGTCTAAAATTAAGGTCTATTAAGGTCTAAAGTCTTCTGGAAAAATGGGTTACAAGGTAGCCAGAATTAGCATCAGTTACAATGAACACGATTAGCACTTCACACAGAATACAGATTAAGTTGTGGTTCCTAACACCCTAACGTTAGAGGAAACTATTCCTAAAGACACACGTCTACTTTCTCCTGAGAAGATTTTTCTTCCTTTATCTGGACAGATGTTCCTTCAACAGCCCCATGAATTTTTCAGTAGGGAATAATTTGTCTAGGATGAATGCTCCTAGCTTCTTGGTTAATAATTTGTATTTTTGTATCTTATAACTGTTTCCATTTGTAAGGAAAAGTACCTTCTGATTGATTATTTCCCACGTGTGTGTGTCAGATCCTTAGCTTTCAAAACAGCAGGTCTTTGTGACGGACTGGAGGAAACTTTTGTCAAATTGATTTGTTTAATTCTGCCCTTTAATGTGCCCTTTTGGGGCAGATCTCTTGAACGCTGTATTCCCCTCCAAAATCAATTCTGAACATTTTACAGGACCCTGTGTGAGCTCCATCTCCTGAACACACTGTACTAGAATGTGATAAATGAACACAATAGCTCAGTGGAATGCATTTGGGCATAAAAGCAGCAGGCTACTGAAATAAAGGCCGTCAAACAGAGATTTAGAATAGGCTAGAAAAGCAAAACAAAATATGGATACATATTTGCTCTTTTCCTACCTCATCAAATAAATTCTGGTCAGATTGACATGAACACAATCTCAGCATTTAAGACACTACATATGGGAGTAGTTTGTAATCTCTTATATTTAGCTAAATATCCAGATTTGATGGCAGAAAATACAGAAAAGGGCTAAAACATCTGTGGCTTCTAAGTATGACTACTAAGAAGGTTTGGTAAAAAAGTTTGAAAGGAAAGTGAGTCCTGCCTTTGGGTTCAGTGGAAGGCAAAATGTTACACAATCACAACCATGTTGCAAAGGAAGAAAATCTCTTCTCATTCTGCATTCATTTTGTTATGACCACAGATTAGCTATGGTCTAAATTCTGGCTCTGCTTGAAAAAACCTTGCCAACACAGTAGCTAAAACAATAGTGCAGTTAACGGAAAGAATCAGGAATGCAGATGTGCCATCTTTTCTTCTTACATTTGTCCACAGGTCATCAGCCTGCAGTTTTCCATTAGGTGTGCTTTCAATGTCATATTTAATCATTAAAAACAGAATTGTGGCTGTAGTTTACAGAAATTAATATACAGATGGACTGTAAAACAAAAAAAGTCTTAAAGACAAGCTAGAGCTCTCTCAATGCTAACTCTTCTATGGATTAATCTTCTTTCAGGCCTACCCTAGGTATTATTTTATTTAAAATTTCTGCTCACAAAATCAGCCTTCAAAGGTAGCTGGTCATGAGTGTAGAACAGCGGTTGTTAACTAATCCTCACCTTTCCTAAAGGTAAGATTAATTAATGGCCCCCAGAGCTCTAAAGGCTTGTTGAGAACAACAGCAGAGTGGTACCAGAGTTGTAAAGAAACAGCTCCTACTAGTATGGCATACGTAAATTCATAGTGACAACAAGAAAAAAAAATCAAGGTAACTTGATCACTAAGGTAACTTAATCAGTAAATTAAGAGACAGATTTTTTTTTTTTTTTCTGAGCGCAATAAAGTATTTCTGATTGTGGTAATTTTAAAAGGTTTTTGCAAAATTGTCAGGTACCAGAACTTAAAACTATCACACTTAGAACAAACTTATACTTGCAATAACATATACTAATATAGAAATCAATGACAGGGGAACCTTATGTAACAGCATATATCTTCCTATGATCCACTCCCAAAGCATACACCATGCATCATTGATAGAGCATAATAGAGAAGGATGGAAAAGTAGCAGAACTACATCTAAAATTGGTAGCAGTTATGAGAAACTGGAATGTTGTTTGCTGTAGCTCAAATTTGTACACTGAAAGCAAATGCTCTGTCAATTAGGATCTGCTCCTGAATCCACTAAGCTCAACAAATGCTGGGCAATTAATTTTAATAAGAGCAGGATAATTTCAATTATTGGTACCAGGAAGTTCTGATTCTTTCAAATTGCACAGCAAAATGGACATTTGCTGTCAGTGGATGACATTTTTAGGTACAGTCTAGTACTCATATATTAACAGACAAAACACACATGGGAAGTGGGATACAGCAGGCAAAGACAAGCATATCACATCCTAATCAGGCTGCTTCTCAATTATGCTCTTGCCACAAAGGGCAGTAGCGAAGTTTTGGACTAATTCTGCAGGAAAAAGAAGAATTTCTTTCATATGAGTAATGAGTGAGATCCTTTTACATAACGTACTCAAAAGAAAGTGAAGTTTAGCAACTCTGAAATAGATGCTGCATTGCTATGTGAGCTAAAGAACAGTGCTGTGTATTTTCCCTATGGCCTTAGTATAAATATTGCAGTGGTTCTTAATAAAAACTGATGCTCAGCTTCTTGAGGTTTGCCTATAACAGTAGTGATATGTTTTAACCACTGCATTACATCTGTTTTAGTTACTGCTACTTAGAGCAACGATAAATCAGCATCCCTGC